AGCTCAGAGACTACAGTTTGATCACCTGCACCACATGCCACACTAGCCCTGCCCCCAGGGTAGGCTGAGCCTCTGGAGTCCCAGCATAGCAGTGCCTGCCTATAATCCCAGCACTAGGGAGGCTGAAAGCAGGAGGATCACCATGAGTCTGAGCTGCGTGGTGAGACCCTGCAACAACCAAATACGCACACACACACACACACACACACACACGCACACACAAAATTAAAAATAAAAATAAACAAATAAAACTAAAATCTACAGATATCAGGGTGGAAAAACTTGCCACTCTACCCTTGTTCAGAAAACGACAATTTTAACACTTAATATCTTCAATTATCACTTTTTATTGTTGTTGCTTTGGGAGATAGGGTGTCGCTCTGTAACACAGGCTGGCTACAAAGTTGTCTCTTCTGCCGCAGACTCCTGAGTGCTGGGATTACAGGCATAAGCCTCTGTAGCAGCCGAGTGACCACTTTTCTAATCTGGCTCTTATGCAGACATTTGCTCTGCCTCACATCTCCTGGCAGAGTCAGGAAACTTCCTGATGTAAGACATATGACTTTGTCCCACAGCAAACGTTGTCAACATAAATAGAAACTCTACAACTGAGGGCAAAGATAGGTCAAAGGGAAAGAGCGTGTGACAAAATCACGACATGAAGGGCCGCTCATCAGGAGCTCACAGTTCATCTGGCACAATGAAACCTCCCCATAGACGATGAGCAACATCACTACTACTTGCACCTTGAAAGTGACCGGGTGTCCTCTGTTCTGTCCACGGGCCAGTGTATCCCGCATTCATACCCCTTACCCTGAGGAAGCCTGAATGCCATCAATACAACACAGTAGCAGGGTCAGAGGGAAAGGCAGGACATCGCACTGGTCCTGCTAACAGAGCCTTGGGACACACAGGGACAGAGCTCTGCTCCCTGACCTGACCTCAACACTACCTGGGGACAGAAATCTGCAAGGAGAGAGATCTGCAGACCCCAAAGCTGGCCAAATCTCCACAAAGCAAACAGGAAGACGTGATGACGAATGTGCTGTTTTTGATGTCAGAAAAAAAACCTATGACTGGAAATATAATGGATTCAGTAACATCTGTCTTTGTTTTGTCACCATTTTTCTAATTAGAAGCACTAAGTTCTCTTAACTGAAATTATTACATAACACTGCTAGTTCAATAATATGCACAGCTTTGATGAGAAAATCAGTAATTCCACAGGGTTTTCTATCCCTTGGCCATGCAGGGCTCCCTGCAAAAATGCACAATGCTATAAGCAACAGTCACACCAGGGCTAAACACATTCACGGCTGTCAGGTAAATGCGCAAATGCAAGACTTATATTCATTCTAAATACTATGAATCCGTATCTTACCATGTATGCATCAGGACTGAACACAGCATTACTCACAACCACAAGGCCCTGGATCCAGCTCTTAGCTTGCTCTGTGCTGCAGCTGAAAGATGGCCCCTGGGCACCCACCAGCATATGCCCCCATAAGCATAGTTCCTTTGGGCTCTTTCGTATCCTCCTGATCCTTTTGTGTGTACATCTGTGGTAGTGGGATCGAATCCATGGGCAGTCCATCATTAGCCTACATCCCCAGCCAATTTCATTTTGAAACAAGGTCTAAGTTGCCCAGGCTGGTCCTGAACTTGCCATCCTCGGGGCTCAGCCTCCTGAGGAGCTCGGATTTCAGGCATGTTTGGCTTATCAAAGGTCTCCTTTTTTCCTACCTTTTTGGTACCAGGGAGCAAACTCAGGACCTCACACTGGCCAGGCAGACACTTACACCCTTGAGCCACCTCCCTGGCCCAGCTAAGGTTCTTATTATGAAAGTGCAAAACAGAACCTGCAGCGTGCCACACTAGCACCTGAAGGTAATCCACAGGTAGCTCAATTGATAGATTTCCTTTTAACCTGAGTTGCTACCAAAACTCAACTGAATCAAAATATAAAGTGTAATACATCCAATTCTTCCAGTGTAATTACAATGATTATAAATGAAACTTGTTGCAAGAATTCTTTTCCCAAAATTAATAGCA